CACAACTTGGCAAGCTTGTGCAGATATGTTATGAACTCTTCGACGTTCTCTCCTTCTCTTTGACATGTCCAAAGGAAAGTGGCTCGCTCATAAACAACCTTCCGTCTCACGACAAAGTGGTTCTCAAAGGCTTGGAGCACGGCGTTGTAGTCTGTCATTTGCTCTTCAGGTGAACTGAGAGACAGCAGGATATCATCCGCTTTATCCCCCATGCAGTAGATGAGAGCATTCACCTGTTCTGTTCCTGGCCTCGCAGCGAGACCACTGACGAATCGAAATCGTTCGAAGCGGCGTTTCCACGAGGTTCATTCTTCTGCGTTTGCAAAGGTGTACGGTTCGGGGGGTTGACACAAGAAGGTGGACGTGGCCATTACTTGCGTAGCTGCTCCTCTGGCGATGTCAGCTTGGGGCACTTCTGACACCATGTGTTGTCAGGGCCTCAGGAATTCAGTGCTCAAACCAGCGTCCTTTGAGAATCGACCATTTAATCATCTATCTCGAGCGCCCCACCCTCGTCTTCATCGTCGTCTCTTCCGGCTCACGCCTCGCGATGACTATAGCTCCTAGCACAGTCCTGACCACATAACTCGTCAGACATGAGTACGGCTGAGCACATCTGGGATGTAATAAGGCGCCAGCTCGGAGCTCTCAAATCCCCTTCTCGTAATCTAGAGAAATTGCGCGACCTGTGGTTACAAATCTGATACAATCTTACTGAAACCATGGACCAAGTGAATGTATGATCCACGACAACATGGGTTGCAGCTCTTTTGCGTGCCAAAAGTTGATGAACGTGGTATTAGGTGGGTGGCCATAATATTTTCCTTGATCACTACATGGCTGTATAGATGTTCCTGACATCGCCGCAAAAACTCACCTTATTGGAAAAGTGATGCAGTGATTTTTGAAATGCGGCGTACACCGCGAGGGGCTGACGTGGACACTACCTTGGTTTTGAGAAAGCGATATGGCGAATTTGAGTTGAGAGGAGACTCGCAACTTCAGCAACGCCGCCTGAGTAACGTACCGAAGAGAAAATAAACGAACAGCGATATTTCACGAAGGCAAGTCGTGCAGACTCTTTACATCTCATAACCAAATATCAAGGCACCCTTTTCCTTGGTCTCAACTCTATTCACTGCAATATCTATTATTGTGGTACTTACCAGCACCCTGAAGGCCTTGGCGGTAAGGCAATCAGTAAAAATTAACTAAAACGCACACCGACATTGTGAATAACCACCCAAGTCAAAACAAAAATAAAAAAAACGGACAAAAAGACACGCAGCGTTTGAGATGACGTGCGTGCATGTCCGATATGTAATTCTTGCTTCATCGCTGGATGAAGCATATGTAGAAGACACTCAAATATTCACGCCAAAAATATTTTTGAACTATGGATCTGTCGTTATTGAAGTGGGGTTGATGTGGGTAAGTTCTTACTTCAGGTGAACCCCACAGCAACAATAGCTATACAAGCATGATGGTTCTCGTTTTAAAAATATATGTTTTCGTAGAAACTGTTAGAAATTGCGTTCTTCCATATGTTGGATTAGCAAAACCGGTCACAAATTATAAAGGTGCTGAACTTGAAGAGTCTACATCTCGCATAGATATTTATTTTTTCATAAAACGTGAACAAGCTATGTTTTATTCAATATTTATAAGGACTGCGACCGTTTGTCGTAAATGATATGTAATCGAAGCTATTTTATATTTGTGAAATTCTCTAGTATGTATGTGCAACGAGACGTCATGTATCAAGTAAAAAATTAAAGTTGGAATCAGAGAAGGTAGTACCCCATCCACTGGAAACAGCGGATGGGGTTTTAGAGAACAGGAACTAATGTATGTGCATTCTGAATCACGATTACTGAATTAAATAAAAAAAAAAAAACTCGATATCAACTGATTTAAAATTTTTGCGATGACCCTAATGAAGAAACTGCTTGCTTCGCGCGAGGCTCATTTACCTAAAAACATTAAAGTGGGACCCGTCTTTCATTTGTGCAGCCATGCATTTTCATTCGTTGCAGCCTAGCGGCTATATTTTGACGTCGAATTACGTCTTTCTCCGTGCTTGGAAGTGGGCGCCAAGTTGAGAGATCGATGTCGCGGAAATCAAACAGATAACAGCGGAGCGCCGACCGATTTCTATCATCGTGGTCACTGACGGCACGCAGTGCCTGCTGACGAGAACCCCGCGGTGCGCACGCGGGTCCTTTTCATGGTATAGCATTGTTCAGCTACAACCGCTTCCCCGAAGTTCTTGGACTTCTGGCTTACTAATACACAGTAGGTATCCGCAGTACACCATATCAGCCCACATTCTCACACTCCTTTACATTCGCACCCCCTTCGAAGGACCTGACGAACTTGACGTCGTTTCCGACCTCGTCCTAGATGTAGTCCTTGAGGTCCTCGTAGATGTTGTTCTAGACGTCGTCTTTGACGACTTCCTTGAGGTCGACCTAGAGATCGTCCTTAAAGTCGTCCTAGAGTTCACCTTAGAGTTCGTCCTCAAGATCGCCTTATATGTCGTTTTAGATGTCGTCTTCGATGTCGCCTTAGACATCGTCATTGAGCTTGTCTTAGAGGTCGTCTTTGAGATCGCCCTAGAGGACGTTTTCGACGTCGTCTTTGATGTCGGTCCTAGGACGTCGTCCTCGACGTCGTCTTATACGTCGTACTTAAGGTTGTCCTATACAATTGATATCGTAATTCATAGACAGCCAACAATAATGGTTTATTCAGCAAATTCTTATCTACTGGCTGGCTCCATTGCTCGCTTCAACGCGACGCGTTCCTTTCTGATTGAATCGGCGATATACGCCGATTCAATCGATTGCCGTGATTCCACAATCTTCGCTCATCACACTGGACAGCAACCAAGAGGCCGAGCTCGCGTCTTCTGCGGCACGAGCAGTTCACGCGACTCTAAAGTGAGACTCTGCGAAGCGTTTACTCCCACCCCCTCTCATTTCTTGTTCAATCCACACCTAGTTTTACGGAAATCTACGCAGCATAGTACACCTATGCAGCGACCATTTTTTTTTTTTTGTTTCTGCCGCCACGTGCTGGTGCCGCCTTGCACTTCCTGCGCAAATGAATATAGGCTGTTCAATATCTCAATACTTAAAGAACAGTTTGTTTTTCTGTTGCATTTGTTCGTGGGATACGCTTGGGCACGTGTGTGCTTGTCTTCGAAGTGCTGCTTCTCACAAGTTAGAATGATAATCGACCCTGCTGCTTTTGAGCCACGGTGTGAGAAACACATTTAGGTGATGACACTCCTCGTTATTCGCAAGAGAAACGATGCCAGAGGGCGCTACGTCGAAGAAGCTAGAAGAAACGCAGATTCACCTGGCTGCACACTTCGGTGGTGTAGTGGCCGAAATATCTACTGCGCCGATGATAGCTGCAAAACACTAAAACAAAAAGCCCTATACCTTGTGATGTTTCAGTATCGGTTTGCTCCCAGCCCCTCCAAACTGAGCAGTCTTTTTTTTTTTTTTTCACGTTAAGCGCCCTGCTTGAGCATATGATAAAAAAGACTGTTTTATTTTATAGTGTTACTTTTGCCTGGCATGTATTTTTACGCGTATTTTGTTAAGGTGTGCTTCTTCCTTGTTTCAAAATTGTAAATCTACGTCGATCAACATCGCACATTATGGCTTATGCAGCCTTTCACTGCGTGTGTGACTGATTATGTCCTATACTATTTCTGAATTAAATAAGTTTGTTTTGTGTTGGTTTTCGTCGTGGGATACGCTTGGGAACTTGTGCGTTTGTTTTCGATGTGTTGCCTCTTACAAGTTTGAGTGATCATGGACTCTGAGGCGATTGATTTCCTTATCAAATCGGAATTTGATGACTCTAAAACAAGGACGTTTCAGTTTCGGATAAACAAATGACTAAGGACGCTCAAGATGGTGACCTCGGGTGCGGGGTGAAGGTCCCACTGCACAGAGCTTTGCACCGAAAAGTAAGAGAAAAGAAATTTGTAAAAGGTTGGAGACATTCAGACATCAAATAACTTTTTGCCCATAGAACCGTGCGTATTTTATAAACAAAATATACTTCACAGAGCTTGCTCAAATATTATTGACACCAACTTTTTCGTTTTGAATGCGGAGAAAAGACCCGGCACTCAACCCGTTACTTTCGACCGCAGCTTACGCTATGCTTCCATTGAGACGAACGAGCAGCGCCAAAAGTGAGTCCTCATGCGCTCCTCGTTTTTGTGCGTTTGCTATCGCGGCTTGGTCATTCACGCACAAAGAGATCGCTGGATCATGCCGCAATCTCCGCGCGTAAATGGGTTAGCTGGTAATCAAAGATGCACAGACATTGCACGTGGCGATGATGCACCTTTCGTGCTGCATGACTGACTCCATCGTATTGTAGGCGGGGAATTTGAGGGGGTCGGTTTTTGCGCATCCCATACGGTGCGATGGTCCATTCCGGTACTAACTGCGCATGCGCTACCACAGAACACTCATATACGGGCACTTCGTGCCGGAGGGCCTATCGTACTGCAACGGATGGGCAAAAACGGTTCGCTAAAACTCCCTAATGTGAAACGGAGGATACCGCCGTCGGAAAAAAAAAATCGCTTAAGACGATCTTTGCTATTCTGAAAGCCACGGTTCGCGGTGGGTGTTCTGCATAGAGAGCTCCGCCATGATTGGCTAGAAAAACAAAGGCATGCTTGGTCCCAAGACAAAGCTAACTCGAAGGAAAAGGGTGTAGAAGTCGACCCCACGACCTTCGAGCCTTTTTGATTTATCAACCGAATTCCACGTGCTTTATTAACTTTTGTTTTTACCTCAACGTATGGCGTTAGCGACGTACCAAACGCCTAGCAGCTGTAGTATATTGAGATCCATGGTGCTCCCACGTGGAGTGCAGAATAAAACAAAATGCATAAAGATCTAAAATATATATAGAGGCATTTTTGGAGACAAGCAGAGGGATAAAACTTTTAATGAACGGTCGTGATGGGTTCATCTTTCTTTGCTTTCGTGGCTATCTTCTCGACATTGCTCAGTAAGTATACTTGCAGTTTTAATATACTGCGCCGCACTCGATTTTTTCAAGAATGAATAATTGTCAAAACAAATTAGAAAATCGAGAAAGTATCTGTGAAAACAAAGTTGCCTAGATATGAATGTATTCTGAGAAATCGCTGGGCATATCTTATATTACTAATGTAAAAAGGCAGCGAGGAATGCCACACATAATTATCTCTTGCCAGGCCGCCCGCAGTTAGCCCCCGACACATTCTCTGGAATTGCCCAAATCTTCAGCACCGCCATCTTCCCCTGACTCAGACACGAGACCTCAACCTAGCCTCCCCTGAGGACTACTACAAATGGACCAGAGTGAACGCGCATGCCGGAGCCCTTTTGGGCTTTATACGGGATGCACAAATAGCGCACCTAATCTAAACAATCAAGCTATGCTTGTTGAACGAATAAAAAAAAAAACTATTATCTCTGTAAAGTATTCGACGTATTCTCAATTAGGTTCTTAAATCCGGTAAGTGTGTGTTTTGTTATTCTTTGAGCCGTTCAATTAATTTACGGTCGAGTACTTAATGGATTTTTTTTCTTTTTGTTTTAACCCTAAACAAGTGTTGCAAACATATATGCGTTTTCATTTGGATTCGGGAATTGGGATACACTTGTGTCCACTAATTATCTTTGAATATTATATCCTCTTTGGTACACCGCGTGAGGGGCAATGCTTTAAATCCAGACATTTGTTTTTAAAAATGTATTCAATTACTTAGAAATACTATCGGCCCCACTCAAGGAGCCTTAGTAGGAGCGTGTACACCCTACGACAAAAAGTACAGTCATATATAGAATCAGAAAAAGAGGAAATTCAGGTAAGTAACATTTCCACAGCAGAAATGAAATTTTTCACAGGTATGAAAATGAGAATATCGTTTAGTAGCTTATTCCAATCTTGAATTGCCCGAGGAATTGAACCCCAAGAAACGGGGAAGTACTTCATGATACAAACAATTATCGACCATGACATTCTGATTGAACCTCTAGTTCAAGCTGTCATCCCAACTTGCCCTATAGACATTTCTTTCTTTGGCAATTTCTGTATTCCTGGTATATATCGGCCTATAAGTCGCGCCATTGCGTAAGCCACATCCCCCTCTAAATTGCCATTTTCAGAGAGAAAAAAAAGTCGTATATAAAACATGATGCTTAAAACCTAAGACTGTGAAGGATGCGTAAAACAAACTAGAAGGAAAAGAAGACAGTGGACAGACATGAATAATATGACCCATTCGCGTGCACATCGTTCACTTTTTTTTTTCTAATTGTACAGACTTGCATGACTTAAGTTGGAGTAAGCACATAAATGAAATGTGTCACGAAGGAATGAACAAGCTTTTGTTTTTAAAACGAAATCTGAACAGTGCTCGGCCTAAAGTGAAGTTATTGGCCTACACAGCCTATATTAGGTCTACCTTGGAGTACGCTGCATCGGTATGGGACCCCAATAAAAAAAAATCAAATTGATGAACTCTAAAAAGTTCAGAGGATGGCGGTGCAATTTATTTTATCCAAATACAACCGACTTCATGCTGTCACGGATATGCTAAAAATGTTCCAAAAGCCGGGATTCATGATTAAAAACAAACACCTCCGACTTGTATAACAATACCAACAATTTATGAGACGTTTTGTCTCCTATACGGGAGACATCATCAGTGCGGCCTCGGAACACCCGACTAGCTACCAGAAATCCAACGCTTCTTCTTCCTTCTCTTCATCCGTAGCGCTGGTTCTGCCGACTTCTTCGTCCATGGCATACGGGAGACATTATTATCGTCTGCACTCGCTTCAACCTCTTTTACGTCCGTCGTGGACGGGAAGTTAAATGAAAAGTTATTTTAAGATGTCGGTGTACACGTCGGGGAGGGGGCCGCGTTTGGAATTGCAGGCAAATGTGTCACTTCGAATACACCATGATTCCAGAAATCTTCTGGGGCCCCACCGTTGTTCGCGCGCCAGGGTCATAGCATTCGCAAGGTCGGCTAATTAAAAACTTTAATTAGCCGATCAGAACATTTTCCTTCAAATTCAGATTTACGAGCATCGGAAGTTCAGACTGTTATCGGATCCCTTTTGAGGCGCGGGTATTTACAAGGTTTTACTGAAAACACACGTGAACAGATGCAGCAGGGAAGAACAAAAGCGACTAATAATTACAAAGCAGGTGTGGTGACTATCCCTTATGTAAAAGGCGTCTCAGAATATATTCGCCGGTCCCTCCTTCCACTAGGTATACGAACAACTTTCAAAACCCATATAAAATTACGGGACCTCATTTCGAAGCCAAAAGATCCAACTCCTCCTGAATCTCAAAGTGGTATTTTATACAAAGTGAACTGTCGGGACTGTGACAAGTGTTACATCGGAGAAACTGGCCGCAAACGGAGTATCCTCCTCAAACAGCACAAAAGAAACGTGGAGAAGGGAACTTAGGCCACAAGATCAGAAACTGAACTGGTGGACCCTTGTTGGACGATTGGTCACACTTTTGACCTTGCGAATGCTGTGACCCTGGCGCACGAACAACGGTGAGGCCCCAGAAGATTTCTGGAATCATGGCGTATTCGCAGTGACCCATCCGCCTGCAATTCCAACCGCGGCCCCCTCCCCGACGTGTACACCGATATTTTAAAATAACTTTTCATTTAACTTCCCATCCACGACGGACGTAAAAGAGGTTTAAGCGAGTGCAAACGATGATAATGTCTCCCGTATGCCATGGACGAAGAAGTCGGCAGAACCAGCGCTACGAATGAAGAGAAGGAAAAAGAAGCGTTGGATTGCTGGTAGCTAGTCGGGTGTTCCCAGGCCGCACTGATGATGTCTCCCGTATAGGAGACGAAACGTCTGATAAATTGTTGGTATTCTTATGCAAGTCGGAGGTATTTGTTTTTAAACAGACATGCTGAACAGCCTCAATCTCCCCTTACTTCCCGTCCGTCGAAAAATTGCTCCACTAAAGTTTTTCTTTATGTTTTCTCATCACCTGTATAATATTGACTCGGATTCTAGAGTAACACATGGCGCATTGAAAGAACTCAGATACGTTAGCACTAATCAGTTTGAAGTGCCCAAATGTAATCCTGACGCTTATAAGTTTTCTTCTTTTTTTCCCTAGAACTGTAATCGATTGGAATAATCTCCCACAAAATATTCTCCCGTCGAACTGCTTAGATGAATTTCAGAGCGCCCTTCTGAATATATGTGAATTGGATTGATAAAAAGTAGCTCTAATGTTTTTGCTATGTAGTAGATGTTGAGTGCTGAGAATTTGTTTTGTTTAGTTCTAGATAATACGTTGAATGTTTGCGCTGTTTCAGCTTTTTATTACAAGTAGACGTCGCTGAATATGTACTGTATCGCAGTCCTGATATTCTATGTGTGAGTGTTCTCCTGTACCCCACACCTGTTAAAGCCCCGCACCTGGCGTAAACAGTATTCACAAATAAATAATTTAAAAAAAAAAATAAGTCGCACATATTTGTACGGTGGGCAGAATCGCTGCTGCCATTAGACCAATGCTCTTACGTTTCTGGACGCTTTTGACTGCTGGAAGAGCAAGACATTGGAGAGTGCTCTGCTGTTCTTCAATCGTCAAAAACGTGCAACGGCCTACACCTTGTACAGTTAAGGTCGAAACATATAAAAAACGGACATACGTCGCTATAGAGAAATAGCGGAAAAGAAAGAATATGAATTAAACTAGTATGACGGCATTTAAAAATAAAACAAATTATATGTAAATTTGACCAAAAAGATAACTGCAATCACGAAGCTGCGGATGAAGAATAACTCGAATTGTTTTCTAAGAAGGCTTCAAAGACAAAGGGCGCCAAACACTGCTCAGGCTCAACGAATATGCCGAGAGGAATGAAAATAAAAATGGCAAGTATCTATAAAAGATAACTCTGTTATATAGCACGCCCGGCAAAAAAATATTCTACAACCGATTGTCGCACTTCTTCGCTTCCCTGAGTACGATTAGTGTTTCAAGCAAATTGTCTAATATCGTGGTGAACTAATACATCTTACAAAAAAACAATTTAAAGACACTAACTGAGGCATGTTTATTCCTGGTCTCACATTGTGTCACATTGTTGATGTCGCATTGGTCAACAAAAACTTTCTTCAGATGTGCTCAAAGCCTATATATGTGCAAAGCAAAGGTGCCTCTAACCTACCTGGGACGTTTCAGAAAGAAAGTTCTGTAAACGTGCCTGTAGAGCATACCGTGTTTTTCTTACAATGCATGAACAGTGTAACTGTGGCTTCTTTAACGCGTCTGATCAAGTGATGCTCAGGTACTCGCAGACTGTTTTGAACGTCGCATCACCGATTAATTTTTCTCATTCAAACAAATACCTGCCTTCATCCCAAAGCAGGTATAGTCGCTCAATGGGGCATTCCATCTGAACAGGTTTCGCTTTTCCGCCTGAAAGTGGAGACGAGGTTGTGGCCGCCGCCTCCAAGCTAAAAAACAGCGCTTCCATTTTTTCCAGACTGCATTTTCTAGACTAGTAAAGCTTTCTCGTCTGTTTTGGCTGATCTCAAAGTATGGACAATATAATCCTGTTTCTTAGGTATTGCCTGCATGTGAAAACATAAGGTCACATACTGCAAATAAATTCTATGCTCAGAAAAAAAAAATTTGGAAGAAATTGAATTTGTAATACCGTTGCCAAAAAAAATGACGTCAATGCCAACGTCAAAGGAAGGTGATTGCTTAAATCACATTACACACTCGTTGCCTCACCACGCGTACACGTAGCGTATAACCACGAAAAATTATATTGTGTTTCCCGTGAGTTATACTTGGGCGTAAACGTTTGCGGGTTGTGTAAAAATATCACTTCAACAATGTGCCGTAACACGTGCCTCGACTTCACACGTGAACATATAAAGAAATGGGCAACCCAAACAAAAAGAAAAATCACAGCAGCTCTCGGGGTATGCGAGGCAGACCCCTAC